GGAATTACTAATTAAGGAGGGGCAAACAGGCCAGATCATGACATGCATTTGCAGGAGTCGTAGCTTAAGTGAACAACAGAACAGACCTGTTATGGAGATAATAACAAAAAAAAAGAGAGACAGAACAGCCCCCCCCACCCCCAATTCTAGATAAGTTTCTGTATTCTCTATGCACCATCAGTCTTGTGTGAAAAATCCTCATTGACTTCTCAGCATTTAACAGATAAGAGGAGATACTAACAAACACTACAACTGATCCCTGAGAAGGGATTCATGGCCACACAAAAAAAAGTGGTTTGCATCAGAATATGAGATCCAGAGTAAGAACTAAATGTGAAATTGCAGTTCAAACATGTTTCCCATTTTTGTTGTGATGTTAATAACTTTATCATTAGACCAAATCACTGATAATGCTTATCCATCTTCACAGCTTAACTGTACACTCCCAGATCTGATATGCTCATTTCCTCTGAAAAACTCCACACTCACACGCAGGGCGCACACATACACACTTAATGCAAGCAAAACTAATGCTGCAGAGTGCTGCAGAAAACAGAGTCCCTCCCCTTGATTTTATGACTCCTTCATACAAAGTGAATAAGAGGGAGTGAGAGAGTAGAGAGGAGTGGTGATGCAGTACTACTGAGTCCCTCACTAGATTTCGAAATTGATGCAGAAGAGTGATCGTTAAGGGTGTCTTTACGGGCACTTAATACGGCAAGAGAAAAGTTATTTCCTAGCTGAACAACCAGTCTACTGGAAGATGTTTTTGCTGAGGGATAACACAAAGGGGACAGAAGAAGCTTCTGCAACTTATTTACCTTCTTTTACAACCTGATCAAGATAAAACAGATACCTGAAGCTAAAAAAAATGTCCTCACCAGGTGTTGAGAAACAGGAGCATATGGATGTGGTGTACATCTCCATTGAGGTAGCCATTGCTGTGGCCTCTGTCCTAGGAAATGTACTTGTTGTGCTTGCAGTTTATGTGAATCGGGCTCTCCGGGACACCACCTTCAGCTTTATTGTGTCTCTGGCTGTGGCTGACATAGCTGTTGGAAGTTTGGTTATCCCTCTGGCCATTGTTATTAGTCTGGGATTCAGTACCCAGTTCTACACCTGCCTTATCCTCTCAAGCCTGGTGCTGATCATCACCCAGAGCTCTATCCTGTCACTCCTTGCCATAGCCATAGACAGATATCTGCGCATAAAAATTCCTACAAGGTAAGAAACTGTTTTGATTTCACAGATCTACACTTCAAACTTCCAAGAGTCATTTATTTTCCCTTGTATTGAAAAATAAAACAAATGCAAAAGACTCATTGATTACTCATGCAGTGATGCAGGCTTCCAAGAACTCTAAAAATAAGTGCTTTCAAAAGGAATAACCAAACATTACAGATGGAGAACAAGACATAATGTCAATGTTTTCTCTACCTCAGTCAGGCTTCTAAATATAAACTTTGAAAGACTGGAGTGGCTATTGCATTAAAGTGGTAAATAATTCAGATCCCTCAATAAATTAATCTGATAATTAGTCACTGAAAGTTACAAATAATAATAAAAAAAAGACTGAATCCCTGAAGCTCTCTACCTGACAATTTGATTTAGACTTTGATGAGGGTTATTTTTATATGTTTACAGATATCTAAATTTGTTTTCAGTAACAGAAAGACAAAATGAAAGACTGATCGTCTGTGTAATCTTAGTAGTGAGTTTTTATGCAAATCAGGCTGCTGGACACCAAACCTTTTAAGTAAATTGAAATTTTCCTGTCTGTCTTAATTACTGATGAAGGTACAGTTTGTTTCTTTATGTAGCTGGCAGGTGTCTCTACTGATGTTTTTTTATCAGCTGAATCCTGAAGTCGAAAGCTGACACTTAAGAAAAATGCCTCTGAGAAAAAAAGCAGACTGGCACAGATTCAATGAAATGCCATTACAGTTGTTTGTGAGTACATTTACGTGATTGGAGAGAACTCTTATTTGTTTTCTCATTGTGTTGCACAGGTACAGCGACATAGTGACCCAGGGAAGGGCGTACATGGCGGTTTGCATGTGCTGGATCCTGTCCTTCCTTAGTGGATTGGTTCCATTGGTTGGCTGGAACAACCAAAGCAGCAGGAACCTCAGCAACTCCAGTGAGATAGTTTGTAAATTTAAAACTGTTATCCGGATGGACTACATGGTGTACTTTAACTTCTTCGTCTGTGTGGTGGTGCCACTGAGCTTGATGATCATCTTGTATGGGGAGATCTTCCGAGTCATCCGGCAGCAGCTAAACCGCCGTGCAGAAGCTACTTGTGATAGAGAACGATACTACAGAAAGGAGCTAAAGCTTGCCAAGTCACTGGCCCTGGTGGTTTTTCTTTTTATCATGTGCTGGATGCCAATACACATTATTAACTGCATTGATTTCTTTTGTCCCTACTATGAAATACCAAAGTTTGCTGTGTATATAGGAATTTTTATGTCTCATGTAAACTCTGCACTAAACCCAATGGTTTATGCATTCAGAATGAAGCGGTTTCGTCAAACACTAATCCTAATAACTCGCCGCTGCATGTTATGTAAGGATACAATGGCCACTACATACCCTAGCAGCACTATAGAAGCAAATGATAAAATGACTGTAAATCTATAGCATTTGAAGACTGTTACTTGCTACACAAAAACCACCAGAAACGTCTGGAAAAGCAAAAATTAATGCAGCGGCTGTTGGTTTTTTTTTTTCTAACCCTTTGGAAGGGTCTAGCCTACCAAACTATGCTAACACAGCTTTACTGTGGCAGTATGAGGGGGCAATTTTGAAAGCAGCACACACATCCTGCAGATGGGACAGGACAGTTAACTGGTTATTGCTTAGTCCCAGGGGTAATAAGATTGCTATGAATAATATGAGATCAAAAAATGAGAAAAGTATGACTGATCATGTGTCTTTAACATAAATCAAGTTTAAAATGATGTTGATACATTGTTTTGGGTAAAGTTAAGCCCCTATATATATTTTTTACTTACAAAATCAGCTAACAGCTACTTTGTTTGACAAAAAAAAATATTTAAATCAATGAATAAATCAGTGTTAAGTATGTATTGAAATATTTTTTTAAGGGACAATGACAAGACTAGAAATATATAAAAATGTCTTTATGGAAATCATCTTTATTTCAAAAAACCTCTTCTAAACAGTGCTGCTTCAACACAGGAAATGTAATGCAAATTATTAAATGAGCCACAAAAGTGAAGAACTGAGTGAGAAAGTATTTGCATCTTTTTTTTTATGTGTATGTCATTTTCTTTTTAATGACTTGTTCCATATAATGTGAAATATTTTATAAAACTGTAAAACATTTTTTTAAAGTCTTGAATCTGAATGCAGCATATATTGTGTTTTTTTTTTTTTTAGATTTGTTTACATATATCGTTTTCAAAATGAAAATTTTTAATGATGGATTTTTTTATCCCCCCCCGAACACAACATAGATTTAAAAAAATGGAATGATATGTTACTAGAATTATTTGACAATACGAACTAGAGATGGATCAGCTCTTAAAAAGTGTACTTAGGTAAGAGTAGGACTTAATCAAAACCTTTTTCCCCCAAATAAAAATTACTCAAGTTACAGTAAAATATATTTAGTAAGAAAGATGACTCAAGCAATGATGATAGCATCTGATTCATTTTTTTAAAAGAAATGTAATCGGACAGACAAAAACATAAAGAGACATGCATATTCTTGTATCTCAGAAACTAGAACAAAAATTACAATGAAAAATAAAATGTATTTTAAACAAAACAACAAACCAAGGGAGAATAAACACTTTGATTATCAAATGTATTTGACAAAAAAACAACAACAACAACAACAATGAAACCAATTAATATATCTATGTTACAAATGGGTGAAGAACTTCTAGAGACAACATGTATGGTTCAGCATGAGGGTGAAAACATTAGAGCAAAACACTTAGTTACAAAAAAAATGTCTTATTTTAACATAAACTATAACTCTGTGTCTATGCCTGGTGGATTTCTGCCAAAAAAAGCATTTGTTCCTCATTCGGTGCAGTTACTCATAATTGGTAGCGTGGCAAGAAATCTTAATAAAGTAAGCATAGTAAAAAAAAATATAAGAAAATTGCACAAGTAAAATGAAGCAGAATGGTGAAGTAGAAGAGCAGGATTATACAGGGTTAATTCACAGGGTATTTACATGGGTATTTATCTATACATCTATTGCAAAACATGTATTTAATTAAATTTAATTAAATTTAACTCAGTAAATTAAAAATATTCCTCTGATAAGCTACTTGCTAAGCTGACCCGGGTATCTGTGCAAATAACAGAATAATAAATCTTTACAATAAAAAAATGAAAAACCTTTAATCACAGTTTTGGACCTCTGACGTAACATAGCTGGGGTCAGTACCCTTCTGGATGTTGTAAAGAATCATATTATTTGAATTGTTTTTTTAAAAACTAATAACATATATAGTTTTGTTTGAACGTTTACACACCCTCCCATTAAAGAAAATGATAAATTCACTGCAGTAATTCCAATAATAAATAAACTGAAAAAGTAATAGTAAATAAAAGTTTTCTAAATCATTATTTGTATACAGTACCTATATATTCCAAATCAGTGCTCTGATTTCCTTTTTTTTTGTTTTTACTTACTATTTATTTTGTGAATTTCAACTTATTTTACTGGCAGCCGATTTTTGTCACGCTTTAATGGAAGGCTTTGTAAACTTTCAAGCACAACTATATATACGAAAGCTGTAACAAAAATTAAAAGAAGCTGCAGAGAATATAACGTCATTTGGGGTCCAGATCAGTGGAAGGCAACAGACCTTTTTGCAGTTGGGGGTTGCATGGACAATCACTCTTTTAACAGTAAATATAAAAAATTCAATTGAACTTCCCTTTAAACAGTTGCTCAGCTTACAAATGTTTGCAACATTTTATTCACTGCCTATAATCATAGTGCCTTTTATTTTCAAATACAAAACTGGGATAAATGTTTGCCAATTTACAAAAATACCTCAAATCATTGTACTTTTTAATGCCATACTGGTGTGTAAAAATATTTTTCCCAATTCTGATGTTTCAATTTTTGTCAAATTTTAGTGTTTCAGAAGTCATATCAATTTAAAAATAGGTTAAAGACAGTTTTTAAATGAAGGTTTTCATAATTAAGAAAAAGAAAAAAAAATCAAAAGCAGAATGGCCCTGTGTGAATAAGGGACCCAAGTAAAAACACAACTTAAATATATTTGATCACATTTGGTTCACTTTGAATTAAAGTTGCACATGCTCCATTTCAAGACATCACTTCAATAGTGATTTTCTGACAAAGCTAAGTTGTCATGACTCAGAACAGAAGGACTCAGTATTCAGGGAAGACAGAAAGTTGGATTAGTGAAAAAGCATTTATTAAAATAAACAGTTCCGTGACGTCAAAGGCAGAAAACTGGAGAAAAACAGGTCAGAGACCACGTTAATCTAACAGAGGAAGATTATGAACATGAGTCACTAACCTGGTCTACAAGTTCAGTCCATAGCCAGAGAATGAGGTAGGATCAAACCGGTGGGCTGCCCACAAGATGTAGCAGATGCCAACCAGAGTGTCACAGATGCTGAAGCCCCGGAGAACTTTCAGGACTCCAAAGTCAGGTCAGGCAAACAGATCAGAACAGGACCAGGCAGGCTCAGAGGTCCAGGAGTCCGAAGCCAGGTCAGACAAACAGATGAGATGAGAACAGGCAGGCTCAGGTTGAGTGGCAGAACAGGTCAGGATCAGGAAATCAGAAACATCAAGATACTCTTAAAACACTCTCACCACTGGCTAGAAAGAACAAGAATAATCAGGCCCTGATGACTGGATGCAAGCAGCTTAAAAAGAGGCAGGAGCAGGTGGATCAGGTGAGAGGTAATGAGCAACACTGGCAGAATTGGACAGGTGAATGAAATGAGTAATTAAGCCAGTCACCGGTGCCACACTGGTCAATCTAGGAATAAGTTAAAATTTCCTAAATTAAGTGTATTTATCCCTAATTTGTAGGTAGGTAAATTATACTCTTAAAATAAGATAATTAGATAATATGTACTTGAAATGAGACAATGCAATTGGGTTTTCTTATTTTAAGTGTAAATTGTTTTGTTCCATTGGCAAAATGTCAAATGCACTTATTCTAAGAAAAAATGACTTATCTAGATTTTTCCAGTGCAAGATCATGACACAAGTACACTAAAATCTAGGCATCATGCTTATATCCCTATCAAAAGAAATATCCGTTTAAAGTAAACATAGTAATTGAACCACTTTATTAATGTAAATGTAAAAGAGTACAAGTCATACATTGTACTAAAGTATAAATACAAATTATACTTTAGTAGTCTTTGACTTAATTGGTGCAAATTATCTTTTTTATACTATTAATGACAAATCAATTCTATGCATAGGTAGAGAGAACATCAACAATACTGACTCTATCTAGTTTTGCTCTAAATTCATTTACATTGAAGTTAACAGAAGTCCTTCATTAGCAGCTGAATGCCTTTAGAGTTCTGGTATACACGGCATAAAGGTACAAATATAGTTGATATAGAACTTTAAACATAACTAACACATACATTTAAAATCTAATGAGGGCGGAATGGATGGAGATTGTCTTTGTTACAGCTTTTAAGTCCTGTTGTTATTAACTAAGTATCTGTACTTACTAAAGGGTGAACATTTCTGCCTAGAGGTGGTCTGGCTGACCAAAATTACCCCAAGAACAAAGTGACGATTTATCAAAGAGGTCACAAAGACCCCATAACAACATCCAAAGAGCTTCAGGCCCCACTTCCCTCAGTTATGCTCAGTGTTCATCCAGTCATTATAAGAAAGACACTGGGGAAAAAATGGTCTGCATGGTAGAGACTCAAACCAATACTGAGCAAAAAGAACACTAACACTTTTCTACAATTTTCCAGAAAAACATCCTTAATAATCCCCAAGATCTTAGGGAAAGTATTCTGTCGAGTAACAGGACAAGTGTTGGAAACTATTTGGAAAGTGTGTGGTCAATTACATCTGGTGTGAAAGTAACATAGAATAAAAAAAACTGAAACAAAAACATCATACCTAGTACAAAATATGGTGGTGGTAGTTTGATGGTCTGGGCTATTTTGCTGCTTAAGAACCTGGAAGACTTGCTCTGATAAATGGAACTATAAATTGTGGTGTTTACCAAAAAAATCCTGAAGGAAAATGTTGAGGCACCTGTTGATGAGCTGAAGATGAAACAAACTTAAGTTTTTGGAGATATCTAGTTAATTATTAATAGTTAATTGCCTGTGGTGTAACCCTGAAAATACCATTCATGATTAAAAAAAACTGAAATGCGGCTGAATTAAAACACTTCTGCAAAGATCAGTGAGCTAAACTTCCTCCACAGTTATTACAAATGCTTGTGTTGCTGCTATTAGAGGCCAAGGGGGAAATTTGTTAGGAGCTCCTCAAATAAAAAAAGACTCCATTAGAAAATGCATTAGTGTTTATAGTCTTTTCTTTGACTATTGATTTGTTTTGTCTTCTTAAACACTCAAGTATCCCAAGCATCCAAGAACTAATCATTATATTTTTAAAAAGCTCCTTCTTATTAGCTGCTGATCCTGACTATCACATCATCAGGAAAGAGTGAAGATCTAACAGTATCTTATAAAATTGTTAAACAAAGTATTTCAAAGAACACATTTTCTATTATGATTTGCACATAAAAAGTTTGTTGCTTTCAGTTGTGTAGAGTTTTTTGTGACTTTAGGGGAATTAGCTGCAGCCCCCCTTTATTCAGCAATAATAAAATACTCTCTTTGTTTTGTCGTAATGTCAGTAGCCTATGTAATAAACCTTTCATCATTTAAAGTTACAAGAATCTAACTCTAGCTTTTCTGGTCACCAAATTAATAGGGACAAAGATCCTAGATGGATTTAAAAATATTTTTTTTTTATTTAATAGATAAAATAATATAAAATCCAATGCTTTTGTGTTCTATTTTTCGAATGCTCTATTTTGAAAAAAAAAATTGACTTAATATAGACATAAATAAAATTGCCACCCCAGAAGTCGAAGTGAATAAACTCATTTACATCGAACAAAACCCTGACAAAGACAAGCAATTTAGTGCCAAGCCTTTATAAGAAAACATTGGACTCTGTTAAGCTAATTCAGCTTCCTCAGGCCATATATTAAAAGTTTCTGCAGAGAGGTGAAATGCGGTGGACCATTTGAATCAATTACCTAAAGAGCATTAAGCTGATTTATACCAACTCTAAACCCATAGTCTCTGCAATAGTTCTGCTTTGTCATCAGTATGACTTCTGCCTTCTGCAAGGGTTTTATAAAATAAAATTCCTCTGGAACATTAAACAATTTGTTTTTCAGATTCTGTGTGTGGTAAATACTAACATCTGCAGTAATAATAGGCATTGTGCTCTTTGAAAATAATTAATTTCCTCTGAATTATGAAATAAAGTCTTAACACTGTGCCTTTGTTTCTGTCTGTCTCTCAATCAGGAACTCATAATACTTAATAATGCCATCTGCTACCGCCCCTCCCTCTCTCGGATGAGGGATTTTAAACTGCTGAGTGTGGTTAAATCCTTAGGACTTGTTTCAGTGTCAGAGATAACGTATAACCAAATTGCTAATACTGGCTTTAAACGCTGTTTCTGTTTTCTTTGGCCTTGCAGATATACAAGGAGCAGAAAAATGATCTAGCAGAAAAGTAGGGAAGACAAAAGTCTCTGTTTCTGATAAATTTCTTCTCTGATTCTAATCTAGAATACTAATCTTCTTTAAGGTAAGGCATTATGTTTTTTTTTTATAATGCAACAAATGGGGAAGGAAATGTGAAACCTTTATCCAGCTTTACATACAAATCAGATATTTTTTCTTCATTTATGCATACAGACTTCAGAAAACAGCTTACATTTGGGACCACAAAATGGCAAATGCTGATGAAGCTGAGGGAAGTCAGGATCTGGAGGCTCCAGAGGAAGACCTGGATGACGAACAGCAAGCCTTGCTGCACTTAAGCAAACATGGAGAAAGACGGCGTGCGCTACCATGGGAGCAGTGGACCTTTAGAGAAAAGGCAAACTATTGCATGGATCGCATCTTCCTTTGCTTTTTAGTTCTCTTTCTAGTGATGTTGCTGTGTGAATTTGGCTATAAAATGGGGTATGTGTTAAATGCAAAGAAGATAGCAGAGTTTATGTCCGACTCTGTCATTTTTATTATTAACTGGCTCTTCACTCAGGAGAAACAGGAGGAACTGGTTGAATTATAGGATGTGAATAAAGGTGATCATTCCATTATATCTCTCATTTCTGTATTTTATGTAGTATTTACTTTGTAGTAATACTATTTCATCAGATCTACAGCCCAGTTTTAAGTAATAAAGAAAAAATTTACTATTTTATTTGTGACGTGTGTAAGAGCTCAACTGCATTTAAGATTATTATTATATTCAACTTGAAGCCAACATTTGTTATTATTTAAAGTCATGCTTGTCTCTGGTGTAAATGATACACACATTTGATTTTATCAAGACAAAACAAAACAGGTATTCATTAGAAATTCCCACTCTTTTAAAGACTAACCCTGGCATTTCTGCAAGGAATATAAATTCAACGTATAAATTTACAATCAATATGATTATTAATTAAACTCTGTCTACATACATTTTTGGGGGTAAAAAAAAACATATAACAGTGAGGAGGAACACTGGTATGTTTTAAATTCTCTTACATGTTTTTCATTAAACAAGAATAAAAATGATTAAAAAAAAAAGTATCAACATTGTTTTCTTTCTTTTAAGATTCTCTGTGTTAGCTCTTTATAAGATTCAATACAATTCTCACATTTATTTACAATAAAACTTTTCTTAAACATTTTTTTTTTTTAGAAATGGGATTTAACAAATATATAAAGTAGGTTTTAAAAGAACTGGCCAAACTGGTTTACCTATGATAAAGGTTCAAACACCATTTTAAGTGTTGAGAAATCAGATGAATTTTATTCAAAATTTAAAAATATAAAATCATGTGTTTTGAACTCTTTAAAGAAAAAAAATGAACATGATTTTTATCTGAACTCCAAAATCTAAAAACTTGCTGTAATAACCTAGAGAGCCAAAGGGGGCGCTATCAGACCCCACTCTATGCCCATTTGACGTCTTTTTTGTGACACACGAAACAACCAATGAAATTCACAGATCACATCCTTTTTCAACTTCCGGTCTCATCAATCAGCCTCTTCCGGATTTCTTGGCGTGACCGACGTTTCGTGTCTGTTTAGACTTAAAAGTAAGTTCAAATAAATGACCTACCCAACGTGTTATACCAACCATTCATGCCCTTATCGTATTTTAATAAAATGCACACTTATATAATGTGTGTAAGCTGTGAAAACCGTGGCTTTGTGACCTTCTACGCACTAAATAGTAGTTTGTAGCACTGGTAGCAGCTGCTAGCAGACACAGCAGCTAGCTAAAATTAGCTCGGTGTAAAGTAGGTTAAAACCACTAAATGGGCTGAATCTTTATTTAAACTAATCCAATAAACGGCCGTGTTTGGTTTATGTTTGGCTAATTTTCAGTAAATTTTATTTCTAAAACAAATAGTGACGGTAAACGTGTGATTAAAAATGGCCATGCGCTTACTTGCTCATTGTTAGGCCTGAAAACGTGGTTGCAACCATTTAACTGAACCAACCATATTTTTAGAAATACTAAAATCTACTCTCTAAACGACATATATAATATTTGCTGCAGGTCTAGGCTGTCTGCATGAACGAGACTGGATCGCATGAATTTAAGAAAAAAATAAGGATTCTCTGAATAAATTGTTTACATAGGGAAAAAAAGCTTTCAAACAGAAGTATCATGTGTGGGCTATAAATGTTATCATATTGAAAACGTAGTAATTTTAAAGCTCATGAATAATCTGGCATGAAATAGTTTTGATCCATCATCATTTCAGAATATGTTTAAAGTTAACAGGATCACCCCTTTAGCTGATGTTTGGCGTTATTGAAATAAATTTGATTACCATATGAAAGCTCGTCTTTTTTAGCCCAAAAGTCATGTTTAAGTCTTTGAATTTTGTGCACATTTTAAAATTTGATCAAATGACAAATATTATAATTTCTTTCTTTTTTTTTTTTTCTTTTTTTTTAAGTCAGAATTCAGTCGTTGGTGCTTTGCTAATCAAAACCTCAGTCCCATTCAAGAATATGACTTTTTTTGTGTGTGTGTGTGAAGCAAGCGGCTCGTAAACATAACTTTTTACTGGAATAAAAAAAAACAGGAACTGCAGACTCGCTGATTGTAACTTCTGTACGTACTGACTGTCTTGATAAGTATGTGTCAGGGGTGTGTTTCATACCATCTTTTAGAAGAAAAACAAAAACTCGCCTAAAAAATTTAAGTAATTGTCTGTATTCAGCTTACTGTTTACGCTTTGGCCATGTGGTTAAATGACTACAATAAAATCTATCATCATTTCTTCTGTGATCAGGGATCTAAACTGTGATCAACTGTGCCCAGTTTGAAGAGCATAATACTGACTTACTAGATGATATTCAAGAGTATTCTTAATTTTAACTCAATTAATCAAAATACTTATATGAGAACATTCATTGTTCTCATACCTGTAAGTTACTAAGGCACAAAATACATTTAGAGCAATAAAATAGACAAGTGAAGAAATTCAGTCATTGCACAATACAAAAATACAAATGAGATCTATGAATAACACTAGTTCCTGAACTTAAAGCAACTCCTTTGTCTGTTGTTCTCTACTTGATGAACTGATTAATCCAGGTGTGCCTGATGTCAGTAACCATAACAGTATTGACCAGACACGCCTGGGTTTATCGATTCATCCAGTGATGAAAGACTGGAAGCAAAGGAGCTGCCTTGGGTTCAGGAAGCAATGGAGTGGGCCTAGAGCCCATAGGCTATAATAAGGGCAGGGATTTAGCAATAGTCTATAGTAAGTAGGACTTGGTGTTATATTGCAACATCCCATAGTCTTGAAAAATCCCTTCTATCTTTTTCATAAAAAAAAAATACTTCTACCTTCAAATGCAGGCTATATTACAAATCCATCATGTTTCCCATGTGCAGGAATTCCTTTAATTATAAATGTGCTGTTTGGGTCTCTGCCTGTCATGTTCTTTATATACTTTGTCATCTTCCAAGTTATTATACATTATTACTTTTTTGTGTTTGTAAGCTTGTTTATTACTTAACAATTGTTCACATGCTGCATCCTTTCCAGAATGCGTTACGTGGCCGCTTACCTGCTCGCTGTTCTGGGTGGAAACACCAGCCCCTCCTCAAAAGACATCAAGGAGATCCTGAGCAGTGTGGGAATTGAGGCCGATGATGAACGCTTGAATAAAGTATGTAATGTAGTGTAAGTAAAGTTTTTTGTAAAGGAGCCAGGTAATTAATTATCCGGTTTTCTCTGTTAGGTCATTAGTGAGCTGAATGGGAAAGACATCAACGAAGTCATGAATTCAGGTAGGGACTCTGATCTCTGCAGTTTGTGCTCTAGATGAGTGGTTCCCAACCCTGCTGTCCAAATACTCCTGTGTCTCATTGCTGCTACACCTGACTTTAATGAACATGTGATTAACAGGCTTCTGCAGTATTTGGTGAATCATGGTTATTTTATAGACTCATTTGAATCAAGTGTGCTCCAACAGAGCAAATATAGAACGTGCAAGGGTGCTTGAGGAGGACCAGGGTTGGGTGTCACTGCTTCGGATAGAAGGTTTCTAACATTATTTCTCGGATTTCTAGGCCTCTCCAAGTTAGCCTCTGTACCAGCAGGTGGTGCTGTTGCGGCACCAGCAGCTGCTGGTGGTGGAGCTGCTGGAGGTGGTGGTGCACCTGCTGCTGGTATGTGTATATAAATGTGTAATTTATTGACATAAATACACAAAATATGTTTATGAAAAAGATTTGAAATTAAAACTGTATTGACTTTGTCCCTTTTTCAGCGGAAGAAAAAAAGGAAGAGAAGAAAGAGGAATCTGAGGAGTCAGACGAAGACATGGGCTTTGGACTCTTTGATTAATCTTGCTTCTCTGTCTATAAAAAGCAATAAAAATGTAAAAGGTTTCCACATATGTGTATCTTTTTGTCTTCAGTGTATTTATACTTTAATTTGCTTGGGCTTCATAAGTCATTTGTCATGCCTGTAAATACTGGTTGAGAAGGAGTAATGTAATGAAGCAGTGATATATCTACCAGGGGTCATAGCAGAGCTCTGAGACCTTGGAGGACCTCAGAGCTGCAGTTTGAAAAGATGCATAAAGCTAAACACTATATTTTATGTGAAAATGAAAAATTAGAATGTTTTTTAATCTTTAGGTAGTATGATTTTTACTACCTTACAGTGGAATATCAAGCTGTCTTGATAAATTGTCTTTAGTAATTTCAAATTTTCAGTATCCCCAATACATATTTTTTTCACTACAAAGATATTTTGAAGGCCATATAGTAAAAACCACAGTACAGGTGTGTTGAGGTTTGCATATTTTACAGAAAAGGTGAGTGCAGTAAAGTCTACAGTGTTTTCACGGCCACAAACCAAAGCTCTCCTTTATGATGCAGCATTTGAGTCAGATTTGACAATTTGGTATTGAACTTCAACTTGTAGGACAATTGGCATAACTGATTGTGTAAGTAATTTATTTGTCACGGGACATGACACCTTTGGTAATCTTAAATTTTTCCACTCCCGGACTTTTGTTCATGCTTTTCCAATTAGAAGTCACACTACAGCCCAGCCTTTTAAACAAATTTTATTGTGGATCTTCCCATTTACGGCTGTTTATGGATGTGCTCAAAGTACAAAAGAAGCACATTCCTGTGCTGCTATAGAGAGCTATATATTTAACACTAAAGCCATAGAAACAGACATACTTTATTACATTTTGGCATGTACCTTTTACAAACTGCTTCGCAATGCTTTTGATATAAAGTTTTCACACTTTATTAGGGAATAAAACTTGGTGTATGAGTAATTATTTGCTTCTCTGAAATGGTGCTGAAACAGGTTAGAGCTTATGATCTACATCACTTGTTAATGATCTTTGGCTAAGGAGTCAAAAAAAAATTCTTAAGCTAAAGGAAATGGGTGCAGACTCAAAGCCTGTAAAATATAAGGATTTGCTTGTTTCTGCACCTGTGCGGTTAACCAATGGTGCACATCAATGCATTCAAAGAGTTTAACCTTTCCCAAAAACAAGTCTGATCATTTCTTAACCCTCCAGGTGTGTAAACAGTGTGACTCACTCTGACACACTTCACCTTCCCAACAAACGGTAAAAGGAGCAGCACATAAGGTCTTTTTGACAAGCTGTTTTTCAGCTCTGATGTCTCATTTTTGCTGGTAAATGAGCGACTGCAATCCATGATGGAGTATAGATATATTTATTTAAAATAAAACAATTTCATTACAAAATGAGTCAAAAATGAATGCCAGCATTCATATCAAAAAGTCACAGTTAAAGTGCTCAGGCAACCACCTTATTTACAGAATTATTATTACACTGTATTTTTTTTTTACAGTTGCAAAAAATACAAAACCTTTATTCTTGGGGTTTCTGTAAGCACCTAATTTTGAATCGAACAAAGTGATATCACAGTTTAGTTCAATATATTTCAGTGAGAGGGCTCACTTAGATTTTCTTCAAGACATCAGTCCTATTAGTGACTTTAAAAAAAAAAAAAACATCCTGTTGTGTCACAGTTATAGGTTTTCAGTCACAGCTTAGTGAAACTTCAAGCATGTTTTAAATAGCTTTACTTGTTAGACTTTGTACATAAAGTGGAGCTTGTGCAGATCTTGAGTCACATCTGTGGAACGTTGTGCAAAAACCTTCATTTATCTGAACAACACTGTCTATCCATCAACGTTGTCGGACCATGGATGGTCTGTGCATGCCTGGAAGAGAGAAAAAGATATTTAAACAAGGTTTTAACTTTCGATTTGTCAGCTGGCTCAAGGCAAAGCCCCAAACTTTCCCCTTGCTTACAAGAAAGACCGGTTCGGCTGTTCATGGAAATGAGTGCAAAGCTATGAACGTAAATATTCTACAGGTTTATCCCAAATAAGAATGTCAAATATTTCAAAAATATGAATTAGTTTTAGTACTTAGACCTTCATAAAAAAATGTTTTTGAGAAATAATGTTTAGGAAACATAATTTGGGGTATTAACAGAAGCAAAAACATGAAATCTCTCACTGTAAGTAATAAATGGATATAAATTTCACTTTTTAAAATTACAGTAGGGCGGAAACAATTAATTGAATTAATCGTGATTAATCAATGATTGAAATAATCAACTAATTTAGTAATTGAGTAATCATTAACTGGAGCATAGAGACTAAAGTATGCCTTTAGCTGACAGAGCAACCAACTTAGAGCAGTAATTATAATAAAATTGTAAAAAACAAAAAAACATGTAAAGTTTTTGCATTTAAGATAAAAGAAAAACAACTTTTGTTCCGTCAATATGCTCTATTAAGAACTCTTAAAGTGGAAAAGTTTTAGTTTCACCTGGTTTAATTTAGTAAAATACCTTCTTTAAGGAACCCTTGACTGTTTGATTATTAAATGATCAATCGAAAAAAATATCAACAGATTAATCGATTTGCAAAATAATCGTTAGGTGCAGTCCTAAGTGTGAACTCAGTCGTGCTAATTTTGATGACATATTTGGTTAAGTCTATTTTGCACAAATTATTTTGTGTAGACTAGTTCTCACTATAATCAATATGCTGTGGCAATATATTAATAGTATAACAAAAGTTTTACTTCTAACAAAAGTAACATGATTTCATGTTACAAAATTTCTGTGTGAGTGCATAAAATACTTTAATATCATCAAACAGCTATACTGATACTGGAGTTTATCACAATAAAAAGAACATTAAAACTATGAAAGTACAGAAACACCACAGTAGTCTGTCACTAACAGAAATCAGTTCTTGTCATTCTCACCTGCGTGTATTCAAATCGATCCTGCAGATAGCGATTACCAAGACAAGTGATGTAGCCTGTATTTTGCTTGGAGAGGCCAGCTATTCTGGCTGTGAAGTCGAGAGTGAAGGCCAGCTTGACCAGCTCGGGTGCTGTTGGTGGCACGGTGGGAGCTGTGTGGGTCGGCGTTGCCTCGTTCTCCAGATAAGCATCAGCCAGCCTCTGGAAGGAGGAGTAAGACATCCGCAGGAAAAAGTTGCTCAGAGTTGGGTTCCCTTTAAGCTGGAGGAGATATGAACAACAGAGCTATCAGGAATGAAAGCATGTTTGACCTACTTTAGATAACACAGAGAAGCTTATCCTTTTACTGTATCCCAAAGCAATTCCATTAATCCGGTTAATAATTCATACTTAGAGGCTTTAAAAGCGCAGAGTTCCTAGTTTTGGCCCGTTTTTTTTAATCTACTGTGTGAACTTCGGGTTCTGACAACATCTTAAATAATTGGAAATAAAAAAAACTGTTTAAGAAAAAGAGATGCTGCAAAAGAAAAAAAAATAAGCAAGAAATCAAGTAAAAATTGCAATTAAATATTTGAAATGTCCCTTTCTGTCTTAAATCAGGCTTACAGGTTTATGTGTTAGTTTCATGTAAAACAGTTTCAGTAGACTTTACAACACAACGGTCACATGACCTGAGGTTGTTTTTCAAAGCAAGCTTTGTGACTCAGCATGTGCTATACACAGTAGAGCTCTTCCTCCTTTTATCCTCTTACAGTGACTTTTGTTGTCTCTAGAAAAATACCTCAAATTAACAAAGGAACAGACAAACGTAGAATGTATAGTAATTTTAACTTAACTGTACTTTTATGTTATTCAGCTTTAGCATTAAACCCCATTGGTTTTTAACAGATACAGTACGTTTACTGTATCTTTACCTCAATGAGCTTGTATCCTTTTTATAAAATTATTTACATCTGATAAGTTTTTATTCTGTTATTATTACAGCTCATACTTTTTCACTGACAATACAAGGAAATACCCACCTTGTCATCAATGGCATCACCCTCTTGTTTTGTCATTGCAATAATCCGTCTGATAACTTCCTCTGATAACAAACACAAACAAAAGTTGAATATTAATAGTTGGCTGAACAGGTTTTATTGACTCTGAAAGCTTTATGTGTTTATTTCCTAACATGTTAATTTTCACTCCTGCAGTAGGTTACTTTTACTTTATCGTCTTTTTTTTTTTTTACAATTTTGCTGTCAGTGCAGAACTATTTTTTACAACTGCAAACTAAGACGATGTGCTCTTCTCATACCATTGGAGAGAGTTTCAGTTTCCTCATTTTCTTTAACCTCGTGTACGATTTTTTCAAGTTCCTCCGACATTTTCTCATAGTAGGAGTATGTTGGTTCCACGCTGACGACACCTGTTTAGGAGACGGTTTTGTTATTTATGTGCAGTTTGTTGATGCAATACCATGTTATAAAATATGTATCTGCATATTACCTTCTACTCTTGAAATACCAGCAGTGTTGAGATCTTTGATGGTTCTACTTGATCTTAGGGAAAGCCTTTTAGAGAGTTTCCTCCTTAAGGATTTTTTCCTCAGTGATTTCTTTGGGGAAGAGATCTGGGTTGTGGGTAGACAGGTAGTTGAGTGATCAGAAGCTTCAAACACCTCTGATGAGCTGCCTTGAGCTTCATCTTTGTCCTCGTTGTTCTTCGGTGTGAAAAAGCTGACCAAATTTTTCCAAAATGAGGGTTTCTTGCTCTTTTTGCTCTTCTTTGGTTTGATCGCTGGTTTCTGAGGTTCTTCCGGAGCCCTCTCTGGCTCATTCGTCTGGGATTCAACCACAGAGATACCAGATTCTCTGGGATTTAATACCTCAGACAAGTGGAGCAAAGGGTCACTGGAGGATCGCCTGTGCCTTTTGGACATGGTTACCCACTTTTCTTTCTTCCCTGAATGCTTTGCCCTCAGACTGCCATCGTTCAGGCTGAGGCTCCGTTTAACATAAACCTCCAGGAGACGGATTGTGTCATTATGGGGCACAGAGATTATCTGGCTGTGTTTTTCTGTCTCCGTTTCCATGGTGGACTCTAAGAAGAAAAGGAAGAAGAGAAAATCCCAGGTTTATATCTGATTTCACTCTTTTTCAATACAAAACAGTATATTCACTGATGCACTTCAATAATGTTATGCACTAGTGTATTTCTTTTTTTTTTTCAAAGGTTGTCAATACATATTATTTAAAAAAAAAACACGTTTTATTAACTTCAATAATCATGCATCTTTTAATATATTTTGTTGTTTTTTTACTTTCATTATGAACATGTTCATATAAAAATGATCAGCATGACGTTTGATCTTATTTCTAATATAAAGCAATAAAATTAGAAGATCTTAAAAACATCAATTTCACGCAACACCCATCTACTATCCTAAATCATCTATAAACGTAGCAGAAAATCAGTTTAAAAACAATGACATCATGTTAAAGATAACTGTTATTATAGCGGTATAAAAAGAGACGCTCTTTTCTGTTTTAAAATCTGAGGGGGAAAAAAGCGTTATTTTTGTAAAAAAACAAAACAGGTTTACTCTTAAACTTACCTTGATCCGATAGAGTTTGTTTTTAATATATATCCGTAAAGAATTAAGGCGTTTTTATCGGCTCGCAGGATTTGAAGCAGCTCGCTGCAGTGACAGACTTTTTCTAATGAACAGACACCGAAGTCTACCTGCTCACTGAAGCCAGAGCTCCTCCCACTTCTGCTCCGGATACACCTGAGATAAACTGGATGACAGAGGGGATTTTTTTTCTATTCACCTGCATGTTTTCCGGGTTTCGCTGCAGGACGTCAGAATCGGCCCTTGTTTATAGTTTCTCTTTAGCTGCGCAGTGTAACAAACGGCCACGTTTCACAGGAAGTCTGAGCTTAGTTTATTTCCTTCAAAAGGCAAGATTTAGAGAAACATTGGGCTAATAATGGAATTTAACATTTAAACATCTTTCTTTCTTTCTTTCTTTCTTTCTTTCTTTCTTTCTGTCTTTCTTTCTTTCTTTCTTTCTTTCTTTGCAAGAGAGATTCATAGACTATAATCAGGAAGTTTGTTAATGCAGAAGCAGTTTGTAATAGACAGGCTAGGTTATTTCACATTGTAAACCATCCATAGCTGGCTGTTTAGAGGACGACTGACTAACTGACTTCTGACTGACTTTTATTATTAATCATAATATTCAGTAACAGTTAGTTAATGGTTTCATTTAAAGGTTTATATCTCCCAACTTATCTCCCAACTTTTGTTTTATATTTAAACTTCGCACACACATAAGTGCATTTAGTCGCATAGTATTCACATTACCATGTAACATCACATTAGTATTTCGTTTGCAGTGAACAGTGTTGGGCACGTTACTTTGAAAAAGTAATT